TGAGTTCAACAGGAAGCCATGATGAGTAGGCATATTGAAGTGCACTGAATCACAGGAAGATGACCAAAGGCAGAATATGAGTCATCAAGCTCCAATACTGCACAGGCATGGCACATGTGAGACAGGAAACTGTAACACACCTGTTGGGAGTTGGACTAAAATCTCTGTAGAGATTGTGTATATAAGGAAGGAGTTTCAGTGCTCCATGTGTGTGGTGTATAGTGGATGGTGGCGGAGCATTATTTCAGTCAGTGTAAGTATTTGTATATATAGCAACAAAGATTAAAAGCCTCTCAAAGAGAACTCAGCAGTTGTCATGTCTACAGCTTCTGTGTAGGAGAAGGATTTCTCCAATTTGCATGAACTGTACAGCAGAGCTTTCTATGGTGTTTGTTCCTGGCACAAATCTTCTGTATGTAGACTTCAGGTCACACATGCAGCAACAAGGGTTATGGGCCCAGTCTGTGCTAAGGATGACACTCATATGTCTGCATAAGTTCTGATATGAGCAAGGTTGCCAAAGTTCTCCAAACAGAGATTTTGGCAAATTAAGAGTTAAAATGTTGTGCATGCCTGCAAGCCTTTATCTGTGAGCTGAGCTGAGCTGGAGGTCTGTGAAGAGATTCTGTGTCCTTGACAGTGTTGCTGAGAGTGAAAGCATGGAGAAGAGAGCAGTTTGATTTGAGAAGCTGAAAGCAGGAAACTATGCCATGTGGAGTGTGTATGCTGAAACTCTTCTTGTGAGAGAGGATTTGTGGGATGTGGTGGAATCACCCCCAAAAGCATCACAAGCAGTGGAAGACAGAAGGGCAACCCTCCTACTGACCATAGAAACTTGTCTACTGAACCACGTAAGAGGTAAAAACACTGCTTTTGAAGGTTGGCATTCTCTAAGATCTCTGGGTTTACACTTTGAAAAACAAGCCCTGGAAACAGCATCGAAAAAGCCCACAACTTGGTTCCGATACGTGAATGACACTTTCACCATTTGGAGCCATGGAGAAGAAGATCTGGTTGGGTTCCTGAATCACCTGAACAACATCCACCCTAACATCCAATTCACTATGAAAAAAGAAAAGGAAGGAACACTACCATTCCTAGATGTCTTAGTCATTCGCAAACCAAACCAGCATCTGGGACACACAGTATACAGAAAACCCACACATACAGACAGATAC